CTACTACTTATTAGGCTAAGTATCAAGAGCGAGGGAAAATTATTAAAATATTATTATTGCATCAAATGTGTGATTTATAGCCTGAGAGTATTAATTACTTGTGACTCTCTAATCAAAAATGGGTGCATATTGAGAGTACTCTGATTTTTCTGAAGTACACTGGCACCATGAAAATATGTAGTATTCGACAACTTCTTTAAGACTGATGAAAACTAACATTCAGTCAATTTGGGAAGTAGAATTCTGACTGAAAGATTTATAACTGCCCTTGATCTCCATTACCGAGAATTCAACACACCTTTCCCTGATCCGATGGACACCAGGTGACACTTGTCACTTCTCCAGTGTGTCCCTTTAAGAGGAAGGGCGGGGCAGCGGGGTCTGACACTTTCCAGATGTAAGCGTCATTATCACCTGATCCACTGAGGAGGTACATGTCATCGGGGCTGAGGGCTGTCTTGACGTAAAATGTGGAGTTTAGGTGACCTGAGAAAGCGCAGATTGGCTCGTGACCCAATGCAGTACAGCTGTACATGTAGATGCTGTCGTTAGTACAGCTTGCAAATAGGCGTGAGTGGGTGGAGTCCAAAACAAGGGATGAAAAACCTGAAATGATAGCAGATATACTAATATACGGAATCTTTGCTGATAGTTTTTTTTTTATAAAACTTGCAACTTTTCTCTTCTATATTGATCAACTCATATAACCTTAGGGAGGCAGAGTGGCCTTACGGTAAGGTTAGTGCACTAGACTCTGGATCAAGCTATCCAAGTTTGAGTCCTGGTCGGGGACATTGCATTGTGTTCTTAGGCAAGATACTTTACTCTCACAGTGCCTCTCTCCACTCAGGTGTGTAAATGGGTACCAGTAAATTTAAATGCTGGGGGATAACACTGTGATGGACCATCTAGGGGGTAGTAGAAATAATCCTAGTCGCGTCATTCTACAGAAACTGCGATAAGCACTTGGCTCGTATGCAGACAAAAAACCTACCATGTTTTCTTACTCCTTGTCCAGGGTAAGGGAAAGTATGAAATGGCACTGGGTCCTGTTTAAGATTAGTATAAATTTTGCGCAGATCCCAGATCTTGATTTTACCATCCATTGCTCCTGTGGATATAAGCTTCTCACTTCCTTGAAATAAGACTGAGGTCACACTCTGTTGCCCTGAATTCTGCGGACAATTATTATTATTTTAATTAGAAAAAGGTATTTTGAGAGTATCTGGTTACAGGTATGTTTAGTGCAGCGTTTGTTCATGACTCGGCAAAACAAAACAAAAATGGAATGAGAAACAACACTCAAAGCTTAAAGAAACAGGCCAAATCTTCTGACAAAACAAAATTGTCTTCAATTATGTCAAAGTTGTGAAAATTTGTATTAGTAAACTTAGCTGGAGGGTGAGAATAACAAGTTAGGGTGAGTTTGAAAAACATGGACAGAAAAGTGTTGCATTGGTTAGAATTGAGCATCACACCCCAGTTTTCATCTGCTTAAGTAGCTGATTTCTGAAAGAAGACCTCTCTCTCTTTTTCAAGCCTTCCACTCTTGATCAAAGAGCCCGTTATTGATAGCCTTGTACTAACCTACTAGGTAGTAAATTAATTTTTTTTGTGTCTGAAACTTGAAAAACCTTGGCTGCTTAAGCAAGCATAATGATAAGCAACAACTGCAGACTCAGTAGAATGCTGCTAAGAACCACCCTTTGTTAGGGAAATAAAAGGTGCTAATTAGCAACATTATACTGTGTCTGCATATGTAACCTAATGCTTATGCTCATGTGCTATTGAAAACTTGCCCATAGGTTGGGCACTAACCATGACAGGTCTTGGAGTAGATGCTCTCCTTGCTTTCTTTTTTGTTGTTTGTGGAGTTCCTGGGACTTTTTCTGTGTGCGCGTTGGATATTACATTGACAGGTTGACAGAAGCGACCTGTGCGACGATTACATCTCATGTCCCATACCATCACGTTACCGTCTCTCGCACCTGTGGCAAAAATGACTGACAAAGAGAGACATCTTATTCAATTTGTGCATTGTCATGTTACAGAAAAGTTGGTTAGTACTTTAGAGGCTAATTTGTTCCATCAATGTGCAGAAAACTATTGCAAAGACACACTTATGCTATCATCAAATTAGATCAAATAGTAACAAGAGTCAACCAGGTGGCAAAACTTGGGAAATTAAAATTGATCAAGAGTTTTTCATTTGTCATGTACTGTTATCTTGACAGTAGCCTGCGTAGCAAGAGTTCCCGTACGAAGAGGTTTTCCGCAGAAAAGTTCTTCACATGGGAACGCTTGCTACACAGGTTATCTTGACAGTGCACATTCAACAAGCTGAGGAAACGTGAAGTTGATAACCACCTTTGAACTGAACAAAAATGATTTTGTCAGAAAATGTTAAGTGCTTTATACCTCCATTGAGCTCCCAAAACTAAAGATTCATCATTGTCATCATTATCATTTCATTGCCTTAAGTTACAAACTAAGTTTGTCATAATTTCCAACTAAGTACTAAATAAATTATTGTATCATTAGTACTGAACTTACAGATGTCATCCTCTCTGAAGTCCACAGATTTCACACTACAGCTGTGTCCTTTAAACACTGCCAAACATTCATCACGATTGACATCCCACATTCTGACAGTCTGATCACCAGAGGCAGTGACCTGTAGAGACAGTCATCAATGTACCTATTAAAACTGATTAGAAATCTGTTATTATAACAAAAATATTTAAACAAATGTAATCACTAGTAGATAACTGTTTTTATGGCCCTGGGTTATAGCATTATCTCTCACCAACATTTCCTGCCCTTCCATCCATGCAATATCAAACACTGCATTCTCATGAGCATTCCATTCTAAAAATATACAACATAAGAAATTATATTTATTATTTGTATTTCTCAAGTGCCTTGATTTCATGATTATGTATGCTGCCAATTATTTACAAAATAAATACAAGATTAGGAAATTATCTAAAAGGTATAATAAAAATAAGAAAAATGTGCAAGCAATAAAAATCCTCTTCAAGGAGCAGAGCAATAAAGAGAAAAGTTGTTATATAGTGGACAAAGTAAATGGGAGATACATGGAAGATCTGGAATACTGTAACCTTGATTATTCCAGTGATTGTATTGATAACAAAATTCTCAATTCTGGTTTTCCACAAACCTTTCTGTCACACATTATTAAGATAATCAGTGTGCAATTACATTGGTGTCAAATTACAGGTATCCAATAATTAGACACCCAACTATTTGCACATCAATTAATTTCCTTCTTAATATTTCCCTACTGTTTGAAAAACTTTTGGACAATATTACTGACCTTTTTGTTAAAGGGAGCTTTTTAGACATTTGTTATTATACATCAGTAATAAGTTAACCTTGTGTCATACAATTCAGATAGTAATCATGCTCATAATTTCAAGTCGGCCCATATTATGCCCTCATCCGATTGTGAAATTACTTACCTAATTACTCACCAAATTGTGCTTCACCGAGTCCAATTACTATTTCATGTCACTGACAGAAAGCATATGGCTAATTCACAGCTTTCATGCCGGAATTTGAATCACAACATCATATCTACAGCCAAATGTAGGATTTATGCATGTAGAGCTGACATCAGTGCCACAGACATGCATCAATAACAAAGTATGATTGACATGACGTTTGTGCAATTCTCAAGATTAGAATTTGGTGCATGTCCTTAGCCAAGAAGAAAGAGACAGTGAATACAATAATTGAATAATATTGTTTTTTTTTTTTTTTTACACGTACCCTTAATTACTGATCTTGATCCAGTTCTCCTGGAGTCCAGTATTTGAACCCAGCCATCTTCATCAGCTATACCCAACATGTGACCACCAAGGCCAGCTATAAAAAAATCCAGACAATTTATAATAAGTACTATAAAGCTATTAACAAATAAACGGAAAGCCTCAGAGAATAAAAGGATCTTACCCTTGCTAAAACGGCATGCAAACGGGGGAACAAATATCTGAAATCGTGAAAGGATTATCTTAAATTGTTTTGAGAACATGTGCATTCATCTTGTAAATAAGCTTACACACAGCTTGTAATGTATAGGCAAGTAGTAAATTCTTGGTGAAATTGAGCTTGTGTAATGTTAAGGCCAAGTACCTACCTCTCGCCTTTGAACGAGATGTTCATCTTCTTTCACGCAATTGAACCTGTCTAGCGCAAAATCGACGGCAAAACCTAAATATTGTGAAAGAAATACAGTTCACGTTTATCTATCGCTTTGCAGACGCATCGAGTTGACAAAGTGTTTATGCACTTCGCGAACACTTCGCGGCGAATTCTAGTTTTACATAAGACATTGTTCACTAAATATTCGTCCACCCTGTACTCACCTCTTCTTAACGGACTAGGAACAAGCTGTCTGTGAAAAATAGATGTAAGAAGAGTCATTTCTTTTCAAGTGGTGGGGAAATCGGACTCAAAACAAAACCTTTTCATACAGAAAAAGCCTCTTCCCGCGAAATTAAAATGCGCGGGAAGATTTCATTCCTGATTTCTGATTGGTTCGTTTTTTCCCCAAATTCCCGGCATGCTCGGATTTTGCATTGCCAGTGATGGCTTATGGGATATGTGATTCCAAAATGGCGGCCTCGTTGAGTTTTGGAGCGTTAAATTTTAGCGACAAAACTTCCAGTAATTCCGATAGCTGGCAAGATGCAAGCACTGCGTTGGCAGAGCTTGACAAAGGTAGACTACTGAAATTTATTTTTTTTTATTTGTGGTGTTCTTTGATTTGTCTTCTGCCTCTAAAGGCAAATCACCGGGTCCTCCCTCTTAACATATAGTGGGTTCTCTGAACAGTGTCTGAACGTCCCCAAGCTTTTCACTTTTACCTGTCTAGGCTAGTGAAATATAAGCTTATGCAATGCAATTTTACTATTTCAGATTCTGGCTAAAATCAGATCAGAAAATCTCAATTAGGTGATTTAAAACTATTTGCCTTTAGCAACTTTCAGACACATGCAGATGCTTTGATTTCAAACACTGTGAACGAAGCTCTTTACGAAAGTTTCATAAGGTTGATGAATGCTCTGTGGATCCCTTAAAATTTTGCATTTTCAGTCTTTCTCCTGCATTTCAATGTTCCTAAAAAAATTTCACCTTCCTTGAAGTAAATCATCATTTTTCGTCGTTCTCCAAAACCCCTGAAGCCACTCTTTCTTACCTCAAATAAGAATGATTGCCGAGTTTGGTGACAATGATAATGGTGATGATGCTATTTGTACTTCAGGTCTACGGTCTAGTAAGACAGGAGAACAGTGTGAGGCAATAGTCAGGTTTCCAGGCTTGTTTGAGAAATATCCTTTCCCAATTTTAATCAACACTGCTTTGCTTAAGCTGGCTGATGTTTTTCGAGTTGGGTAATTATCATGTTTTGGTTTTAATGTTAATCAAATATCTTTGTGTAATATTTCGTTGTTTGAACCCTGGAACTCCTTTTTGACATAGTTAGTTTTTATTTCGTGCTCAGCACTGCATGCACCCATGTATTTATTTATTTATTTAGTTATTTAGTTATTTTTATAATACTTACAAACCATCCCAACCAGGATTTTGCAAGTTGTGAATGTATATGTAGACAGCTGAAAACAATTCCATACTATTATTATGATGACATTGTTATTAATGTTTCATTTAATTATTATAATGACTTGGTTATTATTGTTTCATTTTAAGTGTTTTTTTTTTTTTAATCTTTTGACATTTTCCTATGTTTTCATTATTTAAATTTAAGAAGCTATTTTATCTAAATGTTTTCATATTTAACCTGGATGCAAAAGTTGGAAGTATGAAACATTTGAAAAAAAGTGATGTTCAATCGAGTAAACGACTTAAGACTGAAGACTGTTTAAAAGACTGAAGCAACTTCTGTTCTTTTGTTTTCAGAAGTAACTTTCTTCGGCTTTGCATTCTTAAGGTCACCCAACAAAGTGAAAAACATTTGGATAAGATTTTGAATGTGGATGAATTTTTGAAGCGCATTTACTCTGTGATGTACTCAAATGATCCAGTGGCAAGAGCAATCACTGTCAGAGTTTTTGGAAGCATTGCCTGCATTGTCTCAGAGAGAAAGAATGTTCACCACAGGTAAACTATAAAGTACTGCTGAAATCTTGCCATCTGAAACTCTTAAAGGGAAACAAAAATAGTTTGAGATGGCAGAGGCTTGAGATAAGTGATCGTTATGTCTGAAAAAGCAGTGATGTCCAAAGGAAAATGATCTAAGTTTAAGATGGTGGAAAATTTGAGATAACTGAGTCCGAGAAAGCAAAAGTTCAACTCATTGTTACAGATAAGAGAGGGTCTCAGGTCAAAAACCCAACAAGGGCAGCCTACCTGTATTATAATGAAGAACTTCTGCATATTTGGTAAGGTCCATATCTATTGGCCCATTTCAGTTCCAGCTTGTAAAACTTACCTAGAACTGCGTGAATTATGGTACAATAAAATGATATAATCGTAACATTTAAGGATGAAAGTGATGATATTTTTGTCAGCTACCTTTTTATTGAGTTTCAGAATGAAGCTACTTTACTTTCCCATCAGGAGTAAATGATTTTCATGTTTGTATTATAATTTCTAAATTTTTTGATTCACTTTCCTTATTGCTGTAGCATTAGAAGCAGTCTGGAGTCACATGATCAGGTGGAAGTAGAGGCAGCTATCTTCGCAACCGACAAGCTGTGTGCACAATCAAGGTAAATTCCCAAGACTACAGTACTGGCCAGGCAGAGCACGTTGTTTATTTAGTTCAACTTTTTTATCTAAGCAGTCATGACAATGTGGGGTGTTGTTCAGGCCCTGGTCTCATTGGTTTGTTTTAATCGTTCAACTTTTGTTGTTATTGACAGAGAATTTGCCTCTGGCCTTTACAATAAGATAGTACAACTAATTGAAGGTAAGCACAGACTGATTGTGTTTTTCCATGTGCAGAAGGTGTCTTAATTTAGTGTACGGATTGGTCAGTACTATCAGTGTTGCTATGTTTCCACTTAGCAATAATAATCCTAATATTTTTATAATTATAATTGTAACTTATAAAATTATGGACAATCAAAACTTTTTTGAGGCAACGTGGCCAAGTGGTTAGTGTGCTGGACTTGATATGCGGAGGTCGTGGGTTCAAGTCCTGCTCTGACCAGTAAGCTGGAGTTGTTTCTTAATAGACCAAAGTTCAACTCCCTGGTCATGCCTGTAAATAGCCAACTGGTCTGCCTCCTGCCAGTTGGGATTTTTACTCCTATTATGCTTATTTGAAATATTTCTTCTTTCCAGTTTAAGTGGCATGCCTGAGTAATGGCTATTTGTAGCTAAGAGCATCAACCACTATAAACATTCAACAACAGAATATCAAGAAGCCATAAATAGAAACCATATTTGGTTTTTGATTTTTTTTCTGGATTTAAAATCTCATGTTTAAAAGACACACTACATGTAATGCTAATTTGTCTAATGTTGATTTGGTTTCAGGACTGAGTACTCCTGTAGAGATGAAACTTAAACTGATTCCCATTTTCAGACATATGCATTATGACCTACAGCTGACAGCAAAGGTTGAATCATAATTCTACATTCAAGGATATCATTAATATCTGTTATCATTTGATACTTTTTTATTCCTTTTCATTGGCCGAAAGCCCACCATGTGACCTGCAAATAACTGCCTAAAAATAATGGACTTCTCATGTGTGGTACCATCTAAGTGTGTTTTGTAATAAATAATATTCTGGTCATGCATAATTGTAACCACGCTCTGGTATGAAAAATGCTTCTCTGAGTTGTCAGAGGATGATTTGAATGTGGAAACAAACATGGTGATCAAATGATAAAGCAATTATAAAGCTCTATTATCGCAAAATATCATGATTTTTCACTGTCTTGCAGATCAATTATTTGCCTCCCCTTTGGATTCAGCTGATGATTGATCTGCTTGCCACTTAGACAAGTCACAATATTTTGCTCAACCTTGTCTAATAATTATTGTTAATTATTTTCAATTTTCTACTTCAGTATTAATTTTGTATTCGGAAAAGTTCTATTTTTGTAATTTAAGTTTCATTGTAAACCTTAGCCTGGTGATGCTTACATAAAAGTGCAAGCTTTCTCTTCCCATGTTTGCAATAAACTAGTACATGTATGTAAACATGTGCACCATTTTAAAGTACTTGTCAAGTATTTCATTGTTGTGAAAATTGAGCCATGCATTGGCTGATTTCAAATTCAACTCTGTATGTTTGTTTTAAACATTTTGTTACATTTGTTTTACTCTTCAGGTCCATGAATTATGTTCATCATTACTTGCCTCTCATCCAGCCTGTCATTTTGTTGTCGTCACTCTTCACACCTTGTCCTGCCTTGCGGTATCCACAGTGATTGACATTCCCAAACAGGTTAAACTAGTTAATTACTATAAAATAATTTCTGACACTTTGAATTAACATAATTCTATAAGATGGTTGAGAATCAATCATCTGATATTGCACAAGTAAATAAGATTACATTGCAACTGATCCATTAAATTTCCTTGCAGGCTGACCTGTTGCTTAAGTACTTGATGCAGGATCCCAGGAAAGTTGTCAAAAACCACGCTCTTGCTGACTTAAAAATACTGGCTAAGGGCGCACCACACATGTGGAGATTACAGCATATCGAGGTACTCATGTTTGATTTGTATTTAAATGACTGTTTCTTTGAGCTGAGTTGCTAAGTTTTAGGTCCAACACAATTTCTACTAGTACTTGGCCAATTTTGGTCACTGTTATGTAGTATACTTTGTAAAGATCCTAAAATCACCAATCAGTTATTGTCTTGATCTGCCGCAAATAAATTCTGTAACATACAACGTTCTTAGTTTTTGTACTTATTTTTGTGAGTTAATCAGTCCTTATTTTATGGCAAGATTGTATGTTCTGTCATTGTCTTTTCCATCGGCAGGCTCTCTGTGACTTTATACTCAGTAGCTGTTATGATAACCTTACTTTTGCTGCCTTGCGAACTATGGTAACATTATCAAGATCTGTAGCAGCTGACCTGATACATTGTGACAAAGGTAAATTAAATCCAGTTAGTACATTAAATTAAATTTTGTTACATTTCCATTAAAGTTATGTTTTATTTTTGTTACAAATATAATATATGTACTTAAATAGATGAGTCCTCTTCATTTATAGCTCTGAATGTATAACAGAAACATATTTTTGTGTCTTTTCACTTTTGACTTTTCAGTGCTTGAAGTTTGTCAGAAGGAAACTAACTCTTGTAATTCAGCTGTAGCTGCTTTAACGTCAGAACTGCTTGTCAGTGTTGCTGTGGCAGGGATAAAGTCTGGTTTGTTTTACACAATATTTGATGTAAATTTTGTGTTTTAAGCAGTTACTTTTAAAAAATCATTTCAAATGAGTTGTTTTTGGTGTAATGCTACTTACTGATTGTGGATCCAGAATTTTAAAATTTTCACATTCCTGTTGAAACCATGGTTCATTGCATGTCCTGTATAATATTTGTCAGTAACAGATTAACAATTATGCATTGGAGAGCTTATAATATCCAGTGAATTTACAATATTTAGCAAGGATAGGCTATAAGTTCCAGTGATGTTAATGCGTCATTTCTACCCTCAACGTACCAGGTAAAGAGGACATTGCCCTTTGTGAACAAGCAGCTGTGGCAGTGGAGAGTTGTGCTATTGTCTGTTGTGTCGGTGGACAACTTCAGCCCTTAAAGGTGTTTACAGCCTGATCATCAGATAATAAACATTTGATCAATAAATAATAACATTTCTAAAGACATTCTACAATTTTAAGAAGTTTTGTATTTGAATTTTGTTGTTGCTTAGGTGTGTTTGCTGTCAATGAATAGTTTAGTGGATAGTTATTCTCAGGCAGCTTCGTCCCTTGTGGAGAGTTTGTCTAGCATGCTTCCTACTTCCTCTGGTAAGTGACTAGAACATTGCCTTTGGAACAGTTTCTGAAGTTTTAAGTCTTTCCTCCTGCCTATTTTTAGTTGATGAGGTTGTGGTTGTAAGCATCTGTATGTGAGACACTTTGCATTGTGTTAATAGTTAAACGCCACATAAAACAAGAGTTACGATTGAGAACCTTTGGCCACCAGTGGAAAAAAATGCTTTATAAAAATGCTAGTACCCTGTCCAGTAAGAGACAATCTAAGTCAGAGTCATTTTTATGGCACAGAAACTTGAATTTAGCACAATCTGCTGGAAGAACATCTTTCTATCTTCTCTGACAGTAATGTACCAGATCATTACCAGTAATGGAAAACTTTCATTCTTGTTGCGGCAATTTTATTCTTTTCTAGGTGCTGTAGCACTTGCATTGTGTCGCACAATGGTCACCATGGCAACGCAGATCCCCTCTGTACTTACACCTTTGAGAGGTGAAATTGTTTCACACTTTGCCAAAGTTGTGGTCAGTGCAGATGATGACAGCCAGGAATCGAAAGATTTAGTGGTATGTGTTGTAAAAGGCATGTATCCTTTTAACAGTTCATTCTACAATGTACATGATTTGAGTTTTACTTCCTCTTACCACAGGTTGGCATGGCAACTTTAATTTTCCAGTCTTATCGGGGAATTTCTCCAGATGAGGATCAGAGTTTAATTGCAAAATTAGATGATTTGCTGTTGGAACATTTGGGCAAATTAACAACACCATCAAGATATTGGACCATGTTCAGGGTTGGCAAACAAGCCACCAGACAGGTATTGAGTCTTTAGTCTTGCTTCAATAACAAAATATTGAAGATCATTCACAGTAATTGCTGTTGAAGAGTTTTGACTTAAGCTGACCAGTAAGGTCCGTAGACTACTCATAGGACCTCTGACGCGGCAGGTATATTTTGCAGGTTGCAGGTTGCAGGTTGAAATTTAATTATCACTGGGAAACCGCTGGCGCTAATATTAATTAATAACCTATCTACTCGTCAGGGGTTCTTACATAAAGTAGTTCACGTCTTTCACATAGTGAAAACACGATAGATCCACTATAAATACTTATCGATTGACATGCTGAAACCAGTGAAATCTCTTCAAAGCAATCTGGATGGCCACTTCACAGATGTTTCCATCAATTCCAGATTTGGCTCGGGTCTTCCCTCAACAACAGAAGATTGCCATCACAAATGAAGCAAATAAATAAACAAATGAAATAATATAATATACTAGCACAAGCTCAGTGTGCTTTCATTTTGGTACTCACAGGGAAGAAACCAAATTCAGCAGATATTTCAGATAATATTTCAGATGTTTCTTCAAAAACAATAATTCATTGCAGGCTTAAAATCATAGGAATATACTCTCCTCCCATCGCTTTGGCCCGTTTGGCACTTAGGTGGATGCCACGTTGTAAACAGCGTCGTGTAACAGTCACGGTAAGTTGACCACCTGTACGTTTCGTTTAAGTGCCAGCGGTTTTCCAGTTATGATTAAATTTCAACCGGCAACCTGCAAAATATACCTGCCGCCTCTGACCAGCTCAAACTAGAGTCGGCCATGTTTGTTATGTTCATGTCGTTCGTACGTTGGAATACCCTTCCCATTCACATTTTATAAGTTCTTGTAAGTCAATTCACAACATGTTTATAGCTAGCTATGTGGATATTATGCACATTATGTTTTGTTCACTGTATTTAGTATGTAGGAGTCAGGAGTTTCTCATTATTTCCATTTATTGTAATGTCATGGGACTCCTTCATCGCTGTTATTAAATAAACCAGTTGACATTGAGTCTTTCTCTTCAGCTGTCATCAGAACTGTGGATAGGTAGAGCACCCTGAGAAAATTTGGTTCAGGGGGGTACCAGCAATGGACTAGTAACCCATCCAGGGGGGAATTGTAATTCAGTGCAATTTCTTCTAACAGACCCCTACAATGTGTGCAGGATGTTTTCCCCCAATCACACATCAATCCATGTACCTAACTGATTTTGAAACCTCTCTCCAACGACCACCAGATCTCTGTAAAATGGCCAGGTGATTTTCTGAGTAGCTGTGGAAAAGAGGGTTGATTATACTCCTAGCTGCTTCATGCTCAGCTAAAAAAACCAGCATTAAATGAACAACAGAATTCTAACCCCAGGATTTTTAGGTCTGCCTCACCTATCAGCCTACTTTTAGTCTGAAATTAATTTTACACTTTTTCTCCATCCTTTCCCAGGGTTTCCATAGCCTTGCAGCCAAGATATTTGGAAACTTGTCATCCAAGGTATGAAATGTTTGCATAAACTGTGTTGCCAGAATGTGTCCACTTCACTGGAGGATTTTCTGTGACGTAGGAGCTTTTGATATTTACAGCTTCTTATGATCATTAATTTTAAAAATGTTTCAGGTAGCATCTGAACATTTTTACTTCTGGTTGATTGCCTTGAAGTTCTTCTGTGAAGCAGAGAGTTTGCTGAATGTTTCTTGTGATAGTCAGCTAGCACTGGATAAACAGATATCTGATGCTTGTGCCAGGTACCACAAGGGCATCACTACACTCAAGGTAAAAAAAGTCTGCATATGAGCCAGGTGGCCCATCAGGAAAGCACTTAGCTCATCCTTAGTACAATAGAGGCAGGTTTATTATTATAAAACTTCAGTTGCAAATGAAGGGGATTGCAAGAAGAGTTCTATTGGTGTCATTGGTCACAATGGAACGTGAGTTAAAATAAGTTTGTGACAATCAGGTAAGGTGGGGTAAATGGAAAATTGTATTTAATTTCTTTTCAGGCTTCTGTGTCGTCCAACCGTCAGCTCTCATTCCAATGTTCCTACGCAAGCTTGAGAGCTGAAATGTTCCAGGCTCACAGTCTTCTCCTTGCATCATGTGCCACCATGAAATCCTGTCCTCCACCTGCCATCGCAACAGCTGTTGCCATGGCTACTGGTCAAGACGTTCAGCGACTGAGTCACTTTGCCTCTCAAGTAAGTCTTGCCAGGAAAATGAGATGGGCATTAGTAAGTTAACCATAACTTGTTTCAGTTCAGACAACACTAAGCCATTGTAACTTTAGAGTAACACAAGTAAAAACTTTGGAGTGGAGTGATGGTTACTATATTTTAAAATTTAATAATTTTCAGTAATTTTTTTCTAAGCTCTTGGAAGGAGACAAATAATTTATATCGTCTCCAGCCCTTTAAACATTCAAATTTAAGTTGGGGATGTGAAAGATGTTTTAAATTTGTAAGTGCTACAGGCAATCACAAAAAAATTCTCCTAATAGTTGACAAGATAACATCTTTCTCACAGGTTATCTTTGCTTGCATAACAGTGCTTAGAATATAATATCTTCTTTTGTTCAGATGACAGAATGCAGCAAAATTTTTCGTCGTCTTGGTGAAAGTTATGGACAGCTGTACCGCTCATCATTTAACGCTGACCCGGTTAGTCTTCAGAACATCGAAATGTATCCTTACATACTTGTCTTAAGTTGCTTAACTTTTGGCAAAGTTACATACAAAATTCTGTAGATGGGTTTCAGAGCCACCTGTAATATTCCAAAATTTAAAGTGACTCTGAACCCCTATGCACAGAATTTTTTACAACTTTGCCAAAAGTTGCGTCTTATCCAGCTTATCAAAATTAGATAATAAAAAAAGGGTTTCACTGTGCCATGTTTGAATTATAAACACTTAAAGCTAAAATTAAGGGTGTTTTTAGCAGAACACACTATTGCTATGGTAATGTATTGTGTCACAAAAATGATACCAACGTGTTCACCAAAGATTGGGCAGTTTTTTGAAACCATGCTTGTTGCAACTATTGATTAAGAGCAGTTATAATGACCCATCAAAATCTAAGTGCTGGAAAGTGCTATAAACTGTTTTTTAGACACCTTAAGAGGTGGTGCTGAGTTGAGGATTCAAGATACTAGTTTGGTTTCTCCCGATTGTTTTGAATTTTTGAACAACTAACATATAATATCCTTAACACATCATTCAGTCTTCAGCAGAGCTGTTTGCTGATATCACACAGTATTGACGTGTTAATGAAGACTTCCCAGCCAAGGTATGGTAACTTACTGAAATCACGAACATAGTTTGATTTGCTCATTCACATACTTGGATCACCGTGCTTAAAAGGTAAGTTGATGTTTGCTAAAACATGCTTTGTTATTTTCCTTCAGTTCTCTGGGTGAACAAGGAAACACAGTTACCAAGTCTGCAACATTGAGAGAAAGCCTGCTCTCTTTAGCGTGCACAGAAATTTTGGAAACAGTGGAGGTCAGTTTTCTAGTGAAGCTGTTATCCAATTATGCACAGGAATTTTGTGCAGACTGTATTATTTTGGTTTGATTTTGCCTTTTACTTTCTGCTTCCAGAGTCTAGCAAGTCAACTTGAGGCCCTCCCACTCTGCCACTTGGTAAGTTTTTAATTAAATATTGGGTTGTGTTGAGTTTCACTTTAGATTGGCCTGTTCCAGTCTCTCAGTCAGCGAAGATGATTGAAAAAGTGAGCGGTTGATGAGCGGGGTCTGTCCCCACTGACCAAGAGCCTGGAACAGGCTTCTTTATATAGAACAGAACAGCAATGACTTAAACTGGCTAAATGTTTTAAATTAGATCATATCTAAACTTAATATTTCTTCAATATGAAATTCATGTTTGAACGCAAAATGATTCCATTCCCAAGAATATTTAATTAGTGATTTGTTTCTATCCCATCTAGTGTGTGTCGTGTGTTTGGTTAGTTGGAGAGCAGTGAGAAAATGTTCTTTGTGCTACTCCTGAGTATATTATCAATATGTACTTATACAATTTAAAAGAAATAGATTTCTCCTTTGTGATGATTCACCACTACCTTTTTGACCTTCAGCTCCAAGAAGCTTAAGATGGATTCCGCTTAAATTTCGAGCAGCAAGTGCAAAAATTATTTTAAAATCTACTCACAGCTTGGTAACTTTTTGATAAATATTTAAAACATCTCACTTTGATTAATTTCTCTAAGTGACCCCATGATTAAATTCTCAAGCATTCTCGAAAAAGTTAATGTGAAACCTTGTAAGAATGCTTAATGCGTTTGTTATTGTGTTTTCAACTAACATAAAACGTCCGTTTTAATTGAAATATGGATAACTTCAAGTTCAATTTTCTCTCGTGCGGTCAGCTTGAGAGCTTAAGTTTTGATAAGTTCTTCTTACTTTTATTCAAAACATTACCATTCTATGAGGGTTTTTTGGTAACTTTATTTTTGCCATTATTACTTGACTGTTTGCGGAAATCATCTTAAATTCTCCACTCTGATCGCAGTTCATTTTTAAATTTTCATTCTGAGAATTTAGTGGTCCATCAAGACAATATCCTCTTGTTGATGATTTTCTTTAGTCTTGTCACCTGTATTGATTTGTAAGGAGAAATCAGATATTAATCTCTTTGATGATGTATTGTTTCTTTCAGCAAACTGAGTGTCTTATTCGAGCCTCTATGACTCTTCTCAAGGTGCCGTTCGTTTTCCCGAAGTACTTTTTCTGTAGTCAGCAAGCCACATTTATTAAGGTTGGTAAGGGTAGTTTTTGTTCTTTATGGAATAATATTATTAGCTGTAATGAGTATAGTTCTCATTTATACATGTTCGTATTTTGAACGAGTTCTTAGTTCCTCGACGAAACGTTTTAAAATGAATAATTGATTGATTTATTGATTGATTGAAAAGTGTAACAGTACAAGATGTTTTTCCCAGGAAATTTAACTTCTGGACAAGATGAAGCCTGGGTTTTATGCTGCTAACTTCAGTTTTGAATGGGCTAAAAGTGAAGATTTTTGTAGTGGTGATTTTTAAAGTCACTGAAAAGTTCAACAAGCAAAGCGAGAAAGAACGTAGACCTTTTACCATTCTCAAAGAAAATAATGTCTTAAAACAAAACAAGCAAACATGCAGTCAGGAACAGCGCTGGAAAGCTCGTGCAAGCTACATGAAGGTTGTTTTGGTTCTGCAAGTTGATTGGCTATTTGAAAACCATCTTGGCTATGATTGGTTAAAGCATGATTACAGACTTTTTCTAAACCTAATTAAAAGCTCAGATCTCAGCATATACTTTTGTTTTTTCTGCTAGCTTGCTTTATCTCCCTCGGCCCGGTCTCCTTCAGAACCCATATCAGTCACACTGGAGACTCAGTTTGTTCTGAAGGTGGAAGGAGTGATTGATCATGGCCAGCAGCCAGGTTTGAGTTTTCTTTACGAAAAATAACGTCTTTTAGTGCTATTTTTATGGTGTAAAAAGCATTATGGATGACTGCAGGGGATAGTTCTGACAGTAACTGTACCTTTTTGATGTGATGGTTTAGATCTCTGGTGGTGCTTGGAGGTGGGAAAAAAATTGATTGTTATTTTGTTGTTTTCAGGGCTTTATCGTGATGTACAATCTCTTTGTCTGTCAGTTACTTGGCGTGCTGAGGACAAGAAGCAACAGGTCTTGGATGGCAAGGTTCGTGGGTACACTTTCTGATGTCGAACGTCAGTTATTTTTTGCTTGCCCCCCGCATCGAGAAGGGTGTTAATGCAGGGGCAAGAATGTTTTACCTTTCTTGTTCGTTTTAAAATTTCAAATACCCTGGTTCCCAAGGTTGACTGCTCTGTCGGCTTTTTCACTTCACTCTTCAGTAGCAGAAGGACGAAAGAAATCGTCTGGGGCCAGTGTAATTTTTCAAAATATAGTTTCTTGTTGCCAAATTTATTCTTTAGGTTGAAATCCCAGACAGCCTAGTAAGTAAAAACCCACACCTTCCTTCTCTTGTTAGGGTTTTTCCCCTCCTCGAATGACGTCTGACATACTGATACTAAGGCCTGGCTCCACGGACATCTATGCATCTTCTGTGATTGGTTGTTGCTAGGTTACGAATTTTGGTGCACAAGTGATGACCAGTCAGAGAACGGGTCTAGACAGATATCTGCAGAGCTGTGTCATTGGTATAAACTTTTGAGTCGTATCTCTCAAACAAGAAATAAAAATTGAAGTCAGACGACAACTTTACCCAGGCCACAACTGACTTGAGATTCTCTTTCTGTTCCAGTCCTCTCGCGACAGTGTCACCAGTTTAGAACAGACGGTGGTTCCGCATCATGATTACTTTAGTGCCCAGTTCCTGCTCTCTTTCAACTTGCCAACTGTTTATCACGTGACGGTATCCTCTAGCGTGATTGACAGTTCTGGAATACAATGGAACACAGGACCCCAGAGTTCTTTGCAGGTCAAGACTTCAGATACGGCAGCAAGAAAGCAGAGGACTTCTAGATCATAGCAATCACCTGACTAAGATGAAATGAACTTTTTGTACAGAAAGGATAATAAATGTAGTAAAGTTTTAGCAGTGTGCGGTTCTGCTGTGCTGTTTCTGAAAGATTAATTCTCAAGTGCCTCGGAATCATACTCTCTCTGTCATATCGTTCCTTCCACCCTTCTCTTGTCTTCCATTTAACCCTTTCTGTCTATCATCTCTCCATCTCATAATCCTCCCTTTATTCAATTTCCCTTTTTTTTCATGTCTTCTTCTCTTATTTGTTTTTTCCCACTCAACGTTCGCTCCTTTCTCTTCTTCGATTGCAATTACCTTGGCTGCGCCCATTAACTGTAAAAACGTCGATTAAATAAGAGAACCATTTGCTAGTAACCCTGCCGGCATATGTATGTGCATTAATGCGAACTGAAATGTTTCATGTGCTCCCCGGCACTAATACAAATGGTCTCTCTCAGTTGAGTAATAGCTAAGACATGTACCGAACACTTTGGGCCTAGCCCTTCTTCAGTGGATTACCAAAGTCTCGACATAGCATGATCCATGGAAGAAGAGCTAATTAAATTAGAAACGTTTAGATTTTGTGTGAACGTTTTTGGTACTTTTCGGTTGGAGGTACCTTGTTGCAGCTTAATGTAGTCATTCTACCACAAATGTTTCATTGTTGCCGCTTTCAAAATGCAAGATCGAAACGAATTATTTAGAGGTTTCCCTTTGGTTCAATACGTTAATACGTTCTGCTTTGTGAGTCGTATTCTGTTACTGGTTCATAACTTTACAGTAAAAATATCGCGTAGCCAATAATAAACAGCGTTGTCAAGACCAATTTTAAAACGGCTCCCTCTATAAATAACCTCCTTTCCAAAAATAAACATCTCTGACGCATTTATTTTGTGGTCAATTAACCCGCACACCCACCTACACCCAGCCCACCATTGACTTAATGCAGCAATTTTCAATATTCCAAGACGCAAAATTGCTTTTAAGGAGTTTTGATCCTCTTTTGATAGACCGGAAAAAAAAGCCCATCAAAAGAGCCTTTTCGAACAAGACAAAAAACAAAAATAAAGCAATCTTTGAGTAATATTTATTATTTAAACTAAATAGTGGTCCAGGGTCGGGGATGACAGTTCAATGTCAGATACTTCATTAGCATGATCACGTGTGACACATTTGAGCCACTCTTTGACGTGACTCAAAATCATTATTCGAGAATTAACTTGACTAAGGAGGATTGTGCGGAGTGCTTTTGCTGAAGTGCTTTGTTAAAGCTGTCTTTGACCAGTATAACAGCATTATTTTTTATTCCGAGTTATCGGAAACAAGCCTACATATATTTCTGAATTGCCTCACTACAAACTAATGAGGTTGTAAAGTGAATCTATTTACATGTAAAATGAATTGGTTGACTACCTTACCATGTACCGATCTTAGACGCTAAAAGAATAACGCGATCTTCGGAATTTACCATCACAGAAGCTTCATCAAAATTATCTGTGAAGTTTTAAATACACTAAGCTTACTTATAAAGTGTCAGCTCCGTGCGATTGTCGAATACATGTGCTCGCATTGTGTCATTTTATCCTTTGCTTATATTCAAACACCTGCCTTATTAGCAGGTGTTATGTTTGTTTTTTATTGATAGGCTGACATGATATTTTCTGACAAGCACGTATGCATCATTTTAATTTCTTAGTTTTTAAGAGTAGATTAATAAACACTACAAACCAGTTTAATTTAGTTATACCGAGTGAACTGCGTAGTTCGTGCTTCTTTTAACGTTGTTTGCGTAACCGTTTGCAAAACGCCGGTCGGATGTCCTGCCTTGTCTGGAAAGGCAGTTTTGTATTTTGCATTTGAGGTGTTCATTTGTTCATTCGATAACAACAACAACAACAACATCTTAAACACGGTGGGTTTTAAAGCTAATATAGCTTATGGGGCCGTTTAAAAAAATGTTAATAGGATAGTAAAAAATTGAAAAAATGCAAAAAAGATATGATACGATTATTTTGCAAATGAGGTTGTCCTTCGGTTCTTTTTCTCAAACTGAAATGTTTACTTTTAAAACCGACTGGAAGCGTTGCGTGATCAATCAGTTTCTACGATGACGTCAAAGAGATGTCCGCCAAATGTTATTATTCTCAGTCACGATCCGTTTTGCTGATCAGAAAGCTAAAAATTATTTATTTTCTTTCCTAACACTGGATGATTTCTCCTCACAATCGTACACTGGCTATTTTGCAAGAGAAATCGATAGTATTTTTTACGGCTTTGCTCATATCTTTTCTGTATTTTTTTCCTATTTTCAGGGTCTTTCCCGGAGGAGTAAACACGCACGTAAATTTGATTGGTAAATGAGTTGTCAGTCATCCGTAATCATGGTAACAAGGTGCGGATAAACGTCATTTAGCCAGGAGTTTCAAGGAAGTTCTCGAAAACTGGCGGACGTGAAAACTCGACTCTCTCGTCTTGTGGATAAATTTCATTATTGCTCTTGGTTATTTCGACGAATTTACACCGGTAGATCTCTTTGAATTTTTTTCCTACAGACCAAGGTGGTCTGAGATCCCCTTTGCCGTTTGCGACGACATCAAGTTTACGAAAGTTTGGGATTCGTGGTGCAATGATTCCGTGACAAGTGGGTACAAGTGGAACATTCTGTCCTGCTCAGCACATTCGATGATTTCGCCACAGTTATACAACTTGTGCTAAATCTGAAGAGCTTTTTGGTGTCTTCAATAATATTTCGGTGTGATTAACTTAACTCAGCACATTCAAGGAAGCTGAGTGATTCGATTAATATTGTCGCTCTCGAGTCTTCACGCATACATTGATTAATCAACTTCCTCTCTGAGACGGTTTAGTTTCTCGAGTTTAGTATTCTCGGCCAAATGTGCCTAACAAAGGCAAGCAGCGTGGAGCAGGAGCAGTTTGTGGAATCTGCAGTGAAGAAACAGCAGAGGAATAAGCGGAAAAGAAAACCCAATATGTTCGTGGCTGCAGTCTTGGAATGTACCGTGCGAAGGATTTGTAGCGAAGTGTATTCAAGTAACTTTTGTGTCTGTACCTCAGTTTCGAAGAGGAGGAAACTTGATTTATGCGAGCAGCCAAGTGAACTAAGAACTATCGGATCATCATCATCATGGGATGATCGGCGAAATATTGCAACTGAAAAACAAGTAAGCATTTCAAAGTCAAGTAGTGAGCGTAACTTCTCGCCGGCCCCGGAAACAACTGCCGTGTCAGAAAACCCGCAGTGTGTTCCCAGCGAGGACTCGCAGCTTGAAGAATTTCTCCACAGCTTGACTACAGAATTGACTGATTTTCCAACGTTTGAGGATGTAGATGAACTTTTAAGAGAAATCGACGGCGATTCGTCGGACTTAGATGTTTGGGAAGACGAAATTGAAGCATTGTTGAGCACGAATGCAAGCGATCATTTCCATCCTGGTCTATTCGAAGTGCTGTTCAGGAGTTAAAAATTATTTTTTTGTGAGGAGGAGGGGGATTGGCTGGACAAACTCTCATCCTTGCCTATTCTTAATAGTAGCATGCTTTCAGTGGGTGAAAAATACTTGTTACTTCCGCTCGGAAATATGTGAAATGTTTCTATGCAAATGTTTCAATGCTGTGACTGTCGTTGTTTCACATTTGATAAGGTCGCTGAATTTTTTTTTTATTGTGAGTCTCGGCCTGTTGTATTTTTTATATATACTTAATGCGGCTTACGGGGCAATTATGAGGAATTTCACCCTGCTAAGGTGGGGGATGGCGGCTGGGGGAGTTGGCTCAGATTTCAGTCTCACTGCCAAAACAGATCCCATTGTTATACCTTTCGACTCAAATACGTTTTCCGATTGGAGGAGAGTGTGTCACGTGTCGTGGGTCAAAATTCACTAACCCCCTAGGGTGAACAAAGCTCACTAACTCCCTAGGGAAACAACAACTTGAACTTTTGGCTCACACGTGATCAGGTCGTACTCTTTGAAACTGCAACAAATTTGTGAGCCAGCTGGCCTCAAGCAAACAATTTCTTTGCAGTTTTTTTTATTTTTGAGTTGGGAGATAAAACAAAACACTTAATTACTGGTCCTGCAGGAAACATTGAGTTTTGTTTCCCCTCGACCTCAATGTTCCCTAACATTGTTGAGGGAATATTGTTGAGGGAATATTGTTGAGGGAACATTGTTGAGGGAACATTGTTGAGGGAACATTGTNAAGCTCGTGCAAGCTACATGAAGGTTGTTTTGGTTCTGCAAGTTGATTGGCTATTTGAAAACCATCTTGGCTATGATTGGTTAAAGCATGATTACAGACTTTTTCTAAACCAATTAAAAGCTCAGATCTCAGTATATACTTTTGTTTTTTCTGCTAGCTTGCTTTATCTCCCTCGGCCCGGTCTCCTTCAGAACCCATATCAGTCACACTGGAGACTCAGTTTGTTCTGAAGGTGGAAGGAGTGATTGATCATGGCCAGCAGCCAGGTTTGAGTTTTCTTTACGAAAAATAACGTCTTTTAGTGCTATTTTTATGGTGTAAAAAGCATTATGGATGACTGCAGGGGATAGTTCTGACAGTAACTGTACCTTTTTGATGTGATGGTTTAGATCTCTGGTGGTGCTTGGAGGTGGGAAAAAAATTGATTGTTATTTTGTTGTTTTCAGGGCTTTATCGTGATGTACAATCTCTTTGTCTGTCAGTTACTTGGCGTGCTGAGGACAAGAAGCAACAGGTCTTGGATGGCAAGGTTCGTGGGTACACTTTCTGATGTCGAACGTCAGTTATTTTTTGCTTGCCCCCCGCATCGAGAAGGGTGTTAATGCAGGGGCAAGAATGTTTTACCTTTCTTGTTCGTTTTAAAATTTCAAATACCCTGGTTCCCAAGGTTGACTGCTCTGTCGGCTTTTTCACTTCACTCTTCAGTAGCAGAAGGACGAAAGAAATCGTCTGGGGCCAGTGTAATTTTTCAAAATATAGTTTCTTGTTGCCAAATTTATTCTTTAGGTTGAAATCCCAGACAGCCTAGTAAGTAAAAACCCACACCTTCCTTCTCTTGTTAGGGTTTTTCCCCTCCT